CAGCTCGCGGGACTGGCCTAAGGGATTTTAAAGGGGTTTTAATTACTTTTAAATTTGACGTATCTAAATATTTCTTTTTAATCAATTTTTAATTAGATGTATATGTTAGTATTTTAATCATTGTCAGCCGCCCTGAGTCCGCAAGGAGAAGGGCGGGATATAAATGCAATTAAATAAATAAATAAATAAATAAATAAATGATGGTTTGCAAGGATATGGAAAATGGTGTTCGTAGCAGTTTTAATTGCATTTTCTCTTATTTCGTGCTTTCCATTTCCTTGGCTTACTCGTTCTTCCTTACTTTCTGTGTGGTATGTAATGTTACAACCATGATGGACAGGCTCCATTATGGTCGTGACTTGACGAGTATCCGCATAACCAGAGTTGGAGGCTTAGCAACTCATCAGAACCTGGAATGGTGTTAACTGTGGCTTTATAGGAGTCAAAAATTGAATGCAAATTCTGGTTGTGTAAATTGCAAGACAGTGGGTGCGGTGGCTCAGCGGTTAAAGATACTGATCCAGGTTTGAGATCTGAGTGCCATGAGATAGGGCGAGCTCCCGTTACTTGCTCCAGCTCCTGCCCACCTAGCTCATCAAATGCTTGGTACCTACCTATTAATCTATTCACATTTGCATGCTTTCAAACTGCTAGGTCAGGGGTAGGCAACCTTGGCCCTTTTATGACTTGTGGACTTCAACTCCCAGAATTCCTGAGTTGAAGTCCACAAGTCATAAAAGGGCCAAGGTTGCCTATCCTTGACCTAGCAGTTTGAAAGCATGCAAATGTGAATAGATTAATAGGTAGGCACCAAGCATTTGATGAGCCTCAGCGTATAGTCACGCTGGCCACATGACTATGGAAATGACTTCGGACAATGCTGGCTCGCCCATCTAGGACAGGGCTTTTCAACCAGTGGTACGGGTACCACCTGTGGTACATTGGCACCTGGCAGGTGGTACACGACCATCCTAGAAAAGTGGTAGCGGGGGAGGGGAATGAGCTGAACCGGTGGCAGCACCGCATAAGCCTGAGCGAGAGATGGCTGGAGTTGCAGGGCTGTCAGGGCTCAGCGGAAGTGCCAGGATCAGTGCCGCTTTCCAGCTGATTGGCGCTTCTTCGGGACTGTCAGGGCTCAGCGGAAGCGCCAGAATCAGCGCCAGGCTTCAGCTGGAGCTCGGTGCTGATCCTGGTGCTTCTGCTGAGCCCTGAAGAAGCACCAATCAGCTGGAAAGCAGCACTGATCCTGGCGCTTCTGCTGAGCCCAGAAGAAGCGCCGATCAGCTGGAATGTTGCAACATCTCCAGGGTTTTGTGATTTACATTCAGATGCTTGGCAACTGATTCATATTTATGATGGTCACAGTGTCCCAGGGTCATGTGAAGTGACCAAAACTTGCTGCAACCACCCAGCAGACTGGGGAAATAAAAACCAAACAACCCCCACCCCACCTCCCACTGCTAATCCTCAACAGAAATGCTCACATCAATGAAAACCTTGGGCAGGAGGAAGAGCGCGGCCAGGCGGGCAGGCAGGTGTCTTGCTCGGCTGTGGCTTGGGGGGCACTTTTTTCAGTGCCATTGTAATTTCAAACAGTCATTAAGTGAACTGTTGTAAGTCGAGGACTACCTGTACTTTATCACTTTTTTCCTTTCTTTTTTTTGGGTCATCAAGTTTTTGACCACTTGCTAGGCGGCTGGTGGTACTCGGATGTTGCCATATGCTAAGAGTGGTACAATGGGTGAAAAGGTTGAAAAGCCTTGATCTAGGAAACAGAGATGAGTGCTGCCCCCTAGAGTTGGAAATGATTGGACAGGGGAAACTTTTACCTTTAAATGCAAGATGGCGGCTGTTTACCACGATGGCTAGACATTTTGAGATTTGCCCTCCAAGTGTAACAATATGGCAATAGGGTGGATTCCTTATGCTTCACCAATAAGGGTTGGAACAGACATAATTGAACCAGGTTTTTGGCTTAAGATGTCACACAATTAGGGCCAACACAACTCACCCATGTACACCTCCCCGCCTGCCTGACATTTAATAAACAATGATTAATATTGCATTCCAGTTTCAAGGACGCGGAAATACTTGATCCATTTATTCAAAACAAAGCAACGAGAAAAGGACATTTATAGGAACTCCACCTCTGTCCCCAATTGCTCCTTAAGCCAAGGTAGAATTTTGAAGATGTTGGTGTGGAAATCCCTGGCGTGGGGGAGGGGCTTCTTCTTTACAGGCTCCGAGTCGCACAATAATGATCTATCGCCTTTGCAAGTGTCAACCACGCTCCAGCTGATCACACCCAGCTACAGAAGGAGAGACAAGATGGAGAAAGGACAGTGGCTGTAAAGCTTGATAGACTCCAGGGCAGTGTTTTCCAAACTTGGCAACCTCTTGGTGTGAACCTCAACTCCCAGAAATCTGGGAGCACTGCCTGGGGGAATTCTGGGAGTTGAAGTCCACACATCTTGAAATTGCCAAGTTTGAAAAACACTGCTCCAGTGGGAAGAAGGCAGAGCTAAGTAGGACATACGTATCATTTCGGTTCATCCACCAATATGGCTGCCCATTGTTCTCTTGGGACCCAAAATAATAAAACTGTAGGATGTGTCTTCCCCCTTAACGAAAGGTTTTAGGAAACGAGCTTCCAGTTTATATTGGAAGGTTGGAAGGTTGGTCTGTTTGGTTGAGAAGAGGCTGGGTTTGGCTCAGGTAACCACTCACCTGGATGTAACGTAGCCTTCTCTGAATGAGGAGAGGTCCACCAGCGTCATCTGCAACCAAGAGAAGAAAGAAGCTTAGCCAAGGAATTAATTGGCTAAGCGCAGTCAAGCTCTAAA